GGATATCTTAAAGCTAGTATAAGATCCTACTACGTTACCCTTTATTAGCTTTAACGCTAAGCTATAGCCTAGTAGTTCTCTTATTACTAAGCCCGCCTTAAAGCATCCTTATTTTATATCGCCTACTAACCCTACTAACGCTCCTAACTTTATCTAGTAGCGTCTTTATAGCTATTATAGTTTAGTCTTAGCTAAGATTATCGTAGTCTTAACCTCGATTAGATCTAGGGTTATAGTATAGGCTATAGTAAACGCCTCCGCGCCGCCGCTAGTATAGGTCCTACCTTAATATAGACCTTAGTTATTACTCTATCTTATAAGCTAGCTATCTAAGCTAGCTTTAGTTTAGGTTTAAGGTTAAGCTTAGCTAGTTATTATTAGGCTTCTTATAGCGGTAGTAGTCCTTATACTCCTTATAAGTCTTAGGTTACTCCCTTTTATACCCTATATACTACCTTAAGAGGGTCTTATTATTCCCGCTATAATAGTAAGGTAGATATTACTATTAATAAGTTAAGCTAAGGTTATAGTTTAAGGGCTAGTTATTAGCTCTATCTTAGTTTAGTTTTAAGTTAGGTCTTATTTAATTATAGTCTTTAATAGTAGGTCTTATTTTATAGCTATTAAGGCTAGCTTAGTTAGGTCTTATTAGTTTTATTTAGTTTATAGTTTAAGCAGTAAGGTTTATACTTAGTTTAGGTTTAGTTTAGTTAATACTATAGTCCTATTATTATAAGTCCTCTCTCTTTCTTAGGTTGCCTTAATAAGAAAAGTAGTTAGCTAAGGTAGTCTTAGTTAGGGCCGCTCTATCTTTAGCGCGACCCTAGTCTTATTATTTAGTATATCTATATATAGCCTTTAAGCTAAGTTAAACTAATAGAGCCTACCTAAGTAAAGGAACTATTATACTAGCGGCGCCGCTATCTTTTTCCTTTAAAGGCCCGCTCTTATAATACTTACGTCCTAAGCTAATATTAAAAGGGACTCTTTTACTTTTACTATTAATAGATAGTTAATTATTATATAGTAAATAGTATCCCGTTCTTATTTATAGGTATATATTAGTAAGACTATACTAAGGACCTATTAGTTAATAAGGAAGTTATTAAGCCTAATCTTTCCTATATATATCTAAGTAATTACTATACTAATATACTTAAGGAGGCCCTTATAACGGTCTAGCGTTATCGCCTTATTAAACTATAGTAGGAAGTTAGCGGGGTAGAGGTTAGTTTAGTATTATTAGATCGCGTCTTCCTTAGCGTTTTATTAAGCGGCCTATTTCTTATTTAGCCTTTTAAGTAACTTAGCTTTATCTAGGAGGTTATCCGATCCTATTTAGCTCTAGACCCCCTTTATCTTCTCCGCGAGGGGGGGCCTACTAGGTAGTAGCGCCGCTAAGGGCCTACTCTCTTTCTAGCGTCGCTTCCTCTTAAGTATGCCCGCGACCGCGTTAAATACGCGTTAAATTTAGCTTAAGAGCCTTAAATCCTTTAATATTTAAATAGTATCCGTTATTCTTTAGTTTAAGTAGAGGTCGATTAAGGGCACCTATACCTTTACTTTTACTTAGTAGACTAAGGTTATATAGTAAGCGCCTATTACTACCTAGAAGTAAGCTAACTAGTCTTATACTAAGTCCCTTCTTATATTTAGTATTTATTCTCTTATTTTTAATTATTATTAACTTTAATTCTTTCCTATAGTTTAGCGTTTTATAGCGCTAGTTTTAATAATAAGATATAAAGTATTAAGTATATTTATATTATTATTAGTAGCGAAAGTTTATAGTTAACTTTTAAAATAGTTTTCTTAGCCTTAAACGGTCTAAGTTTCTTAAAATCTAATTTATTACTTAGTTATTTTATTTTAATATTTTATTATATAAGGTAGACTATATTTCCCTCTTAAAAGATTAGTCCTTATAATCTTTTCTTATTATAGTAAGTAGATATTCGTTCTCTAATAAATTAAAGTTCTTATTATATTTCTTTATATAATTTTTATACTTAATCTACTTATAGTATTACTTATTTTATTTATAGTCTTTATCGAGTAACCTTAAATACTTCTTAGTTATATTTATAATTAGTATATACTAGTAAGAGCTTAGTTATTTCTATAACTAAGCTATTATAAGCTAGTTATGCTATTAGTAGCTATTTAACTTAATCGATTTATTTATAGCTAATATAGTATCGTAAATATTATTTAAGCGTTTAGTTAAGTCGTTTTATTTATCTACCTATTTATAGGTAATAAGCTATACTAAGCTTATATTTCGTCCTTAATTATACTATAAGTCTCGCGTATAGAGATATAAGAAGTATATATAAAATATATAAAGGTAAAAGTAAAAGTAAGGGGTTAGATAGGTAAGGCAGAGATATTTAATTCTTATAGGGGCAGTAATTATAGTAAGGGAGCGATTATTATAATGCCTTAATTCTCCTTCTTTCCTTTATCTAACGCCCCTCTTTATACCTATTTAATATCTTAATTAATAAAGAAGATCCTACTTAAAGAAGCTATTAATATCCTTTTAACTACTAAGCTTTTTACTAGTTTTTCCCCTCCTTTCTAGCTATTACTAGTATATCTATCTTATCTCTCGCTACCTTTATAAGAAGCTATCGCTACTTTTACTTCCCCTCTTACCCCTACCCTCCTCTCTATACTTCCTTTTAGCTCCTTCCTTAATACTTATTTTTTAGCTTCCTTAGTCCCTCTTACTACGGGATATCTCTAAGAACTATAAAATTAAGCTACGCTTCGCGATAATTATATCTTAGTTTCTATTAGGAATCTATATCCCTATTTAAAAGGTCGGCCTAAAAACCCCCCCTTTTTATACGTTATTATTAATTTTAATAAAGGGGTTCTATTTTAACTAGTTCCTTAATTTTTTAGCTAACGGACTAATAGGTTTATTAAGGGACTAGCTAGACTAAACGGACTACCGGGGCCGGGCCTAAAGTAGTAGGCGGTGCTAGGGCTAGGGTAGCAGCTATAGTTAAAGATAAGGTTAAGGCTCTTAATAGAGGAGGAGCTAGAGGTATAATAGTAGTAGTAGCGGGGGCCGTAATAGTAAGGGCTATAGTAGTAAAAGGGGCAATAGGTCGTACCGTTTAAGTTAAGTACTAGCTATAAAGAAATAAGACTACTTACGATTATACTTTAATAGCCTCTTTATTTAGTTCTTAGCTAGCTTTTTAAAAGATAGCTAAGTAACTATTACTTATAAGCTTTATTAGTATAAATATATCCTATAGCTACTATCTAAAAAGAGCTTTTATTAAGAAGTATTAGTTAGCTTTCTTAAGGATCTCTTCTTACTTAGCTAGCTATAAAGAAGCTAGTAGGTTCCTAGTTAAAAAGGCTCCTAGGTAGGCTATATAGGTCTTCCTAATCTAGTTAGTTATATAGCTCTTTAAAGGAGCTATTAAAGTCTCGAGCTTTAAAAGCTATTACTTAAGAGTCTCTTCCTCTTAAAAAGATATTAGCTTTATAGTATTAGCGGATTCTATTATAGCTATATATATAGTAGTTAATTACTTTATTTTATAAAGGTATTCCTTATAAGAAGTCTTATAGTTACTTTTTATATATATATTACTACTTATATATAGCCTCTAGGGCTATAACGAGGCTAATAAGGGCCTAGGCCCCTATTAATAGTCCTAGCTAGCTATAAAGCTCGGGGGCTTATAACTAATTAAGGAAAGGGTAGCTATAAAGGCAAAGATAAAGGAAAGGCTAGTCTAGTTCCTCCTACGCGGTAATTTTCCCCCTTAAGGGCCCTAGGGCCCCTAGGTTACTCCTTTCTTATAGTTACTTAAGGTAGTAGAAAAAGCTCTTTACTATACTATTATTAGCTCGAAAAAAAAGGGTAGCTCCCTTTATAAATTCTATTACCCTAGGATAAAGAGGGGGCTTAAGAGGGTCCTACTTATTAAAGAATATTAAATTATAAATAGTCTTATTTACTTAAGCTTATAGCTCCTTTACCTACTTATCTTAATCTTAGGGTTCTATTAAAATCGTTCTATAGACTATTAAGGTAGTAGAGGAATCGTTTTTTAATATTATTATAAAAGAAAAGTAAAAAAGTTAGTTAAAAATTAGCTTCTTTAGTAAGAGGGGTAAAGGGTACTACGAGGGATATAAGAAGGGCGCCTTTTATAGTAGCTAAAAGATATAGGAATTCTATTCCTCCTAGGCTTATAACTCTTATAAAGAGAAATATAAGAAGTATATATAAAATATATAAAGGTAAAATTAAAAGGAAGGGGTCGGATAAGTAAGGTAAAGTTATTTAGTTATTATAAGGGCAATAATTATAATAAGGGAGTAATTATTATATTACTTTAATTATTCTTCTTTCCTTTATCTAACGCCCTTCTTTATATCCCTTTAATATCTTAATTAATAAAGAAGATCCTACTTAAAGAAGCTACTAATATCCTCTTAACTACTAAACCTTTTACTAGTTTCTCCCTTTTATTCTAGCTATTACTAGCATATCTATCTTATCTCTCGCTACCTTTATAGGAAGCTATCGCTAATTCTACTTCCCCTCTTACTCTTACCCTCCTCTCTATATCTCCTTTTAGCTCCTTCTTCCTTCTTCTATACCGGGGCGTAGTAGAGGACTTGACTGGTCTTTTTGTCTGGTTACTGTATATGCCGGCAGACACCTTGGGTTTAGAAAACGATCTAACTCGCACGATAACTGGCCTGATTACTCTTCTCTTAAGATGATGTCTATTGTGAGTCAAGATAGTACCTAGTACATGCGTGCAGTGGGATGCGCCCGCTCGTCGTACTCGTTCCAATGCAGCTCCTCCTCATGCTAGGTAGATGAGCAGCCACTAGTTTGAGACAAACGTGTCTTCTAGATGCCTATACGGGGTAGGAACAGGGTCGCCCCCTCGATCGTGCCCCAGAGTCCCGGTAACCTTAGAAGAATGCGTATACCCAGCGAACCCTAAAGCGCCATATTACTCCTTGTAGTCGATATGGTGTGCAGCTTGAGACTGTTTACGTGGCTGGTACTCCTTAAGCTTGCCCGGGGTCACGCGCCGATTGAGGATCGTGGGAAACTCGCCCTTCGACTTGGCAGGAATCTCGTCAAATCGTTCTAATTCCAGCTTCATGCTCCTAACCCTAGAAATAGGGATATCTTTGCCGCTATGCTATAGATACAACACGAACTCTTTAGCATCGTTTCATCACTAGTAGAGGGCACGCTAGGCGCATACCGTATGAATAGAAGCGCTGATTTCGTTTCTATACTGGCTAGGCTTGATGCCGGCGCGGGCGCAGGCCTCGAGTGCCCTGTTGAGGTGAATAGTTGCCGCGGAGGGTCCTCGCTTCGGGTGTTTAAGAGCAACAAAGTAGCCCACGTACGAGTTGCAGAAGTACACCTTGACTCTTGCTGGCCGCTCGAGATCCTCGACCCTGTACCTAATGTGAGCCTGATAGACGATCCTCTCTTTATCGTGGTCCCTGCTCGAGTAGAGCTTGTTGATAAAGGCTACGGCTCGTCGCTTATGCTTCTCCGAGTAGCCCGTCAACGTATCAGACATAGTGGACTCAGACTGATCGTCACCATCTCTATACTGTCGCTTCTGGTCCAAATGCTGGGTCTTCTTCTCGGCGCCCTCATACGTGTATCCGTATTTGTGGGTGGACAGCACAGAGTTGGACGTATGCTGGTGCCAGCCCTTTCTATAAAAGGGGGCCAGCGGGGAGTTGGGCCCGATCGTGGTGCCCGCAGGGGTTGTAAATCGCTCCCCGCCAGGGTAAGAGATAGATAGGCCAGGCATGTCTGGGTGCGCGGCCTGCCAAAGGGCCCAAAGCCGATCGATGTTGGCGTGATGTAGCATACTGTGGAGATTTGATATTAGCTTAGATATTCGCGCAAGATTAAATTAGGCATAAGAAGCTCACAAAAGAGGATCAAAGGCTGAATATGCAAGGTCTAGAAGCTGCTCTCCGCAAGCTGCAGAGTTATGTACGTGGTTATGCGCCTGTTCAACGCTAGTTCCAGATCCCATAGTAGTGCCAAAGTCCTCAAACGTCTTGGAGAAGACGAAGGCGTGGTACTAAATAGATCAGAAGTAGTTCATCTAATGGTAAAATGACCGTTTATACGTACCACAGACTCCCGCAAGTTGATTGCCTCCAGGTTCTGATTCGCTGTTTCCGGGTAATTCTGGGGAGGCGGGCAGCGTGTAATCTTCTTGTTAGGATCAGGCTGGAAGGTACCGAAATTGCCATCAAGGGCGTCCTGGGGAAAGGAGTATCTCGCTAGAGGGTTGCGGACTTCCTTGCGGCCTCGGGGCGTGTTGATGGTCATGGTCCCCGGGACAGTTGAGTTGGGAACATGGGGGATATCGGCCCAGTCCCAGAACGGGGTTCGGAGCAATGCCGCAGCTTTTATATACCTCTTTCGTTTGCTCCCCGTATATTCTGCTGCAATTTTGCGAGCGTGTTTGACAAGGACTTGCTATTTGAATACGTTAGAGGCGTTTCCCCTTAAGAGGTAAAACAAGAAACAAACCTCATGGAGCAGAAGGTAGGGTCGGTGCCAAGACATAAAAATCCCTTCCTAGTTTATTTTTTAGATATTAGTTAAGTCCTTTCCCTAGCGGCGTGTTATGAAAGTGCGTACCCCATGGGGGCAGTAACCTGACCAGCCGTCGTCATCATTAAGTCTCTGACCCGTATTATTCCACTCATAGGCTGGTTCTCCATGAATTCCTAATGGTGAAGAGTAAGTATATCACTTTATAGAGCGACTATCCAATAGAGAGTCTATACCGCCAACTTGGAAAAAGGATAACGGATCGGCAGAGTCGACTTTCTGCATCGACGCAAGCGCCTGGATATATAGATCCCTATCGACGTGTAAGACAAGAGTGCATATATGCGAAGGAGTGGACTCTACGCTCGCACCATTGAGGTCCAGCTTCAGAGGCAAGGTCATTGATGTTGCGCCGGATAGGAATATTGTTGGATTGAGTCTTGATACCGGTAATGGTATAGGGGTCCGCCGCAACGGCGTGTAAACTCGACCCCAGAGCAAGGTACCCGGCAACAATACTGTAGAGCATAGTGAATAAGTGTAAAGATCCAAGTTGCAGCTGCATTATCAGATTCTGGGGAGCGGGTTAAAGCGGTCAAATATATACTATAGCTACTTCAAGGCTAACCATACCGGTCATAACGTCTATGCCTATACGGCAGTCGTCGATATTGAAAAATATAGAATTATATTATCTACTTTAAGTGATGTCACGAGTTTCATCTAAGACCTTTTTATATTGGCGAGCCAGTAGTGAGCCTTGTTTTATAGTGGTGAGCCTGGTTTTATAGCGAACCTGGCGGGTATAAAGCGGAGTCTTTTGGCATGCAGGCTCTTCTCCAGCCTCCTTTGCCAGTCAGGGTAAGCACTAGAAGATATCTTGAGTTACTCACTGTAGCAAATGCTCCTGGAATGCATGCTAAATGGCCGTGTTAACCGGCACACAGGTTTGGCTAACCGGCACATAAAAAAAATAGGGCAGTGGCTGGTCAAGGCGCAGCGCCGATACCGCACAATTAGGTGCGCATATTCCCTGCGCCTGCCGTATGCAGTTATAATACTACGAAAAAAGTGAGGTTATCGCGAAAAGTGTATTAGGAGCCCTGGCGGCGCCCAAGCGGCGTTATATACGTCTGTCTTGAGAAGAGGCCTTTATATGTGAATTCTGCTAGGCGTCTCCTTCGTCCTAGACGGCCGCTTCCACCTTGTCCCCCGGCAGCTAGGGGAAAAATCGTGGTTGGAATAGCTTCACTTCTAACGAAGTTATTAACTGATGATACCGGTATGTGTGCGTAAAGAGCAGTCTGTTATGTAGGCGCGGGGAATATCATGCGCACTTAATTGTGCGGTATCGGCGCTGCGCCTTCACTAGCCACATTACCCTTTTGTGTGCCGGTTAGCCAACCTGTGTGCCGGTTAACACAGGCGATGCTAAATGTAGCTAGCAATTATAAGTCCTTACGCATCGTAGGTCCACCCGCTGGGCTACGCCCTTGTGGGGCCAACGTAGTGCGAGAGCTCTAAGCCGTGCCGAAAATGCCGTGGACAAGCGCAGAAGGTGTACCCGTTGGCTGGCCCTTCGATGGGACGCCTCTGCGGGCCAACTTGATAGTGCGAGAGTACTAAGTTGGGCCGAAAGGTCGTGGATAGATATAAAAGGTATAGATAATCGCGCACGCTAGTAATTCCGTAGGTTACCTATTACTAAGAATACTAAAATTAAGGACTTTTATTAGGAATAGCTTTATACTAAGAGGTATAATATAGTTAAAAGAAATATATATATATTTTAATTTTATAGTATAATAGTATTAAAGTAAGTATTTTATAGTCTTTTTTCCTTAGTTAATAAACTAGCTTTCTATAATAATCTTATATATTATTTAAGTAAAATAAAGTTAAACCTATAAAGAATATATATTTAGCTAGTTAAGGTATAAAAAATATAAATAAACTTCTTATTATATATATAAATATTATAAGATATTTAAAGTATTTATATAATTTTAAGAGATTTACTTAAAATAAATAACTATTTAATATTTCTATAAGTAATACTTTAAAGTATTTATACCTTTTATACCTATCTATAGCTTTTTATCCTAGCTTAATATAAGAGTACTAAGTTTACTCTTAAAAGTATATTATTAAAGGGTCTATTTCTTATAAAGAGAGATAAAAAGTATATAAAAATTTTTATAATAGTAAAATTAAAAGTAAAGGGTTAAATAAGTAAGGTAAAGTTATTTAATTCTTATAAGGGCGGTAGTTATAGTAAGAGAGTAATTATTATATTACCTTAATTATCTTTCTCTCCTCTATTTAATACTTATAAGTATTTTAGAGTAAGTAGATATATAAGCTTAAGTACGGTCTATTAAAAGAAGGTTAATAATCTATAAAGGGGAAAAAGAAGAGAAGTATAGGCCTAGCTTATATATACGCGGAGGCCGCTTATATATAGACTTAGCCTAGACCCTAGTCTAGGCCTATATAAGGCAAAAGCCCTTATATTATACCCCTACCTAGCTTTTAAAGAGGCGCGCCTTTAAATAATACTTAATATTATACCTAAGGGGACGGAACCCTCGTATTATATACTAGTCCCTTAGTACGGGGCTGGTACGTTAACCTTGCCGTTTGCCTAGATCCGGTGCGGGTCTAACGGGTAATTAAACGGACTAGCTACTATACGTAGGTTTTAAACGTATTATACGGACTAGCTACCGTACGTTATTACGCGCGTTAAATACGGACTAGCTACCGGTCTTACGAGTTAAAGTAAGAGTAGTAATAACTATCTATATTCTTCTCTGCCCGCCTAAAATCTAGCGGGTTCTCTATCCTCTATATATACTATAGCGAGCGTAAGACCTTACTCGGGGCTTAACTAAGTAATATCTTAACCTTATAATTATACGATAGTAGTATAGTATCTTAGCGGCATTTCCCGGTATTTTCCCTAAGTAGGCATAGGTATTTCTCTATAATTTCCCCGCTATATTCTTATAGTAACTTCTTAGGGAAATATCGGTATAGTCCCTAAGGAACTTATTATTACTCGGGAAATTATAGTATATTCCCTATATAATATATCCCTAGGGGAAATCTCCGTAAAATATCTATATAATCCGCTTAGTTATCGTTTCCTGGAATTCTAAGTAATTTCCTAGAGTTTGCCCGGTAGCTTCTAGGTTCCTTCTTCCGCGGGGAGCCTTAAGGAGTTAGGGGTGTCTTCCTTAAGGGAAGTAGATATCGTTCTAGGTACCTAGATTATCGACTATAAGGTATCCTATAATAAATACCTAGGGCGAAAAAATTAACCGACGTCCCTATTAGTTTCCCGCGGTATTTAGGCGGGAGTCGCGCTAATAGGGGATCGTAGTAAAGTTATATAGATTTCTAAGGTTAGTATAAGGAGTAACTCGTCTCTTATCTAGAACGTAACCTAGTACGACTAATACTAGGGGCGCGAGGCGGCTAAGCTAGGAGCAAAATACTACTAGGACCGGGGGCGCTAGGTAGCTAAACTAGGGAAAACTAATTATAACTAGGGGCGCTCTATAGCTAAGCCGGTAATAAAACGAATAGTGCCGGGGATACTACGAGGCTAACCTAGTAACCGACTATCTTACGCCGTAGGGGTAGGGGTAGGGTAAGGGATCTCCTCCTTAGCTTCCTCCTCCGTTAGTTCCTTAGGGCCTACCGGCACGTTAGCTAGGGCATCCTATATATCGGAGGCTCTATAAATAGGCACGCTATAAGCGTTATTTAGGGCCGGTTCTACTAGGAGTATTATAGCTAGTCCGTCGCGAGAGGCTAGAATTTAGTTATAGATTGCTACTACTAGTACTTATATAGTTAGGCCTAGGTTCTAGAATCCGCCTAAGTACGCGTTAGTAAACTTCTAGTCTAACGAGTTAAAATAGGCTATTACGTTAGCCGTATAGGGGCGGGCCGCGGCTAGCGTATATAGGGGGCCGACGCGGGCGGCTCTTTAGTATACTATAGCAAGCTCGGGCGAGTTATCTAGGAGGTAGGCGGCGAAAGCGACCCGATAGATAAAGCCGGCGGGCACTCTAGCAAGGGCAGCATACTAGCCGAGCGAGAGGTCGGCGTCGGCCTCCTTATAGATAGCGGCGAATAGATTTACCTAGATTACGGCCGTATCTAGGGCTCCGTAGACTAGCGCTTCCGACCTAGAGTAAACGATACCTATATAGCCGTCTATATCGCCCGGGTTATCGTAGTATACTACGAAAAGTACGATAGGGAATAGTCTAGGCTTTCCGCGGCTTAGAACCTAGAAGGGGTTAAGCTTCTATCGGACCGGTATTAGGGCCTAGTCCTCGGCGAATAAGTTAGCCCGCTTAAAGGGAGTAGAAGGCGGGGCCGCGGCGGCAGCGAATAGGCGTTTAGCGAACGGGTTCCTTAATAGCTCGTCGAATATAAGGTCTACTATACTAGATCCTCCGGTCCTAGCCGGGGTACGCTTAAGGGTCTCTCTAAACTTATAAGTTCCTAGTATACCGGAGGCCTCGCGCTCCTCTACGGCGGCGGTCTTAAATATCTTTAAATAGGCGGGGAGGTACTTCGTACTAGTAATAGTAGCAACGATCTTAAGTATCTCGGCGTCCGTAGAGGCTACCTATTTAAATAGGAGCTTATTAACGACGTCGGCTAAGATAGTAGCGATCTACGCGGTTCCGAGGGCGCTAGTTATCCTCTTAGTTTTATCGGGGAAGATAGCTCTATCTAGGTCGCGTAGCGATAGGGGAAGAAGCTCGTCCTTATTAGATAACGGGGCAAACTACCCGCGGGCGTTTCGGGGGGTACTAAGGGTTTTCCCTATAATACTTAAAACTAAGGGCAGCGAGTCGCTAGATAAATTACTAAAGCTTAATAGCGATAGGGTATAGTTATCGAAGCAAACGCGTAACGGAGTACTAAGAATAAGGCGATAGGAAGCGCCGACCTACTATAGTCGGATAGTTAACGTTGCGTTTCTACTAGTTTAGGTAGTTATAGGAGTCGTAGTAATAATATAATAGGCGGCGGTGCTACGAGGCGTAGAGAAGTATAGCTAGTTACGTTTACGTAGATTACGGGCTTTAGCTAGGGGAAGAGATAGAGGGGCGTAGTATATACCGTTTTCTACTAAGCCTACGTTAAGATCGTACCCTTCTTTAGTAAGGAGGTCGCGGTAGTTAGTATATATACTATAATTATCCCGTTTCTACTCGGTAAAGGCGGCCGTATTAGACTTAAGGTTACGGAGGAGCTCTACCTCGTTCCTATATAATTAGACTACTTAGCGGAATCCCTTAAGGCTTAGGCGCGGCGGTTAGCGGTAGATTTAGTTAGAGAAATATTAGCGAAATACTAGGTCCTTACTATAATACTTATAGCCTTAGATAGCGGGAACCTTAAAGGTAGGTATAAGAGGGGAGCTATTTAGTATAGAAAAGGGAGCATAAAAGGATAAGGAAATCGGGTTTCTAAAATAAAAATAAATATAGGTGCTAAAAT